CTGGCTCAGAGCAAGGCAAGTACAGCGGGTTCTGGGTGCAGGGCCTGTACCCTGCTGACTTCTTAGTCACAGGCAGCCAATCCACGGCATCAAGGTACCTGGCACCAAGACTTCTGTGGTGCAGCCACCCGCTGGCTCCGCCTCCAGGGACCAGTCCCTGGGTGCAGAGGTGGCTGTGCTGGACCCCAGTCCCGAGCACTGCCCCGGACACAAACCCCCTGCAAGGGGCTCGGTCACACGCTTCCCTTCTGCGCCGTCTGCTAACTTTTTCCCGTGCGTGGGGAGCTGATGTGTGGACAGCCGTTCTCGGTATGAAAGAGGAGTAGGACCCCTCAGCCAGAGAAGCGAGGAGAGGGGGCCGGTCCCCTCAGCAGACACAGTGGCAGAGCTGGAAGGAGAACACGGGACCCTGGGCCCTGGGCTGCTGGCTGCTGCTGGCTGTAGGTGGAGGCGTGGGGGAACCCAGCATGGAGGGGCACGGGCGGGTGGGGAGGGGGCTGAGGTTCAATCTGAGACACCACCAATGAGTGCGAGGACTGGGCACAGAAGCAGAAACCCGGCCAGCATGTGGGACCCCATGAAGGTGGTCAGAATGAGAAGCAGTGAGGCATCACAGCTCCCCCACCCCCCCGTGTCTACTGAGGAGCAGGCTAGCAGGGTCCCAGGGGAAGAAATGCCATCACGCACTGTCGCTCCCCCTCTTCGTGGAGGAGCAACACAGGACCCTGCGCTGTTCTTTCGTCTGCTCGGCCCTCCCCGGGTTTGCTGCTGGTTCTTCCCGGGTTGGCTACTATCCCTTCCACCTCCGTGGAAGGGCAGTTCCCCCTGGCCACATTCCCCACTTCTGCAGGGGAGCAGCACACCGCCGGCCGGCTCTCTCGGGGGCTGCACAGGTGTTCCTTCAGATAGATGTTCCCCTTAGATGTTCCCCATAGATGTTCCTGGTGCATGCCGTCTCTCTCCTCCTTTATAGTCCTCCTCCGCCAATCCTAACTCGGCTGCCCACACACCGAGTACGCTGCTCTCCAATCAGGAGCAAGTCCTACAGTTTATTAGCTGAACTGGAGGCAGCTGTGCGGAAGCTGTTTACTTCTCTCCCAGCGCCATATTGTGGGAGAGCAGATGCATAGAATAAGTCTTAATTCCAGTAACTCAGTCTAGTCCGGTTGCTCCCCACAGATCCCCCTTTCTTTTTATTTTTTGGCGTCGATACGCGCCTGTCTTCGGTGTCCCGCGGCACACACTCTGCTCTACTTGCTAGAGTTGCCACAGGCTCTTACAAGTCCTATCAATCAGGCAAACTGAATCCGGGTCCTCTCTTCGCCATGTTGTGAGGTTTTTAGGCGCTGATGCGTGCCTGTGTTCGGTGCCCTGCAGCGCATGCTCTGGTCGAGCCTGCAGGGGCTTACAAGCCCTATCAGGCAAACCGAATCCAAGCCTTCTCATTGCCTTTTTGTGGGGAGGCCTTACTGATGTTAATTCGTGCCTGTCTTCGGCGACCTGCGGCGCATAAGCTGCTAGCCACCGCAGGTGCTCATCGTGCTCATCGCCTCACTTAATCAGGCAGACCGAATCCAAGCTCTCACATTGCAGTGTTGTAGGGAGGCCTTTCTATTTCTCTATTTCTCTATCTCCGGGCATTCCTATTTCTCCCATTCCACTTCTATCTTCCAGCATTCCTATTTCTCTCACTTTACTTCTAAAACTTCTGTTTCTCTTATCCCTGCGGCTTCCCGCTCTCATTCTTATCCCCGCGGCTTCCCGGCTGCGCCCGCCCCGAGGCTGCTTCTCGGCAGCTTTCCGGCTGAGCTGCTTCAGCCCGCGCCTCTCTCATCTGCGCAGCTTCCCGGCTTTGCGCGGCTTGGCTTCGCGCGCTCCGCGGTCTCCACGCCCTTCGCGTCTGCACCACGGCCTCGTGCCAGCCCCGTTCCCTATCTATTCACGCCCCGTGCTCTCTCTGCATGCGGCGGCTTCCGCGAGTAACACAGCGTAGCTTACGTGTCCGCCACTAGCATTCAATCTAAGTTCCCCGGGCTAGCCTGGTGAATTCAACCCAGCATATGTCTCCGCCCCACGATTTGGCTTCCCGTCCTTTGCTCCCCGGGCTAATCAGACGGATCCCAATCTGGCTTACGTTTCAGCTTCTGGTTTCAATTTTTCGCCCCCTATTCCCGGGCTAACTTGAGAATCCCAAAGTGGCTTTCGTGTCCGCCTTGGCCTGCCCCCTACGGCTTCAATTTCCCTAACATTTTTCTCTACCCGGTATGTTTCCCCAAGCTTTCCTCCAACAATATTCCTCCCTCATTTCTCCTGGCCTCTCCCCACAGTCCGTATCCGAGTCTGTTTGTTCTAGCTTTCACTTTCGCTTTCGACCTTAGAGATTTCTCCCAGCTTCCCCCCATAGTCCGCATCCGAATCTATGCCTAGGCTTTCAATAGCTTCCTCCGGCACCCTTTTCGTCCGGCTTTTCCCTAGGCTGTTTGCTAGTCTCTTTCTCTGGTATTTTCCTGCTTCTTCCCGTTTCTTCCCTCCTAAGTTTGCTATCCATCCTAGGTTTCCTATCCGAGTCACGGCACCATTATGTCGCTCCCCCTCTTCGTGGAGGAGCAACACAGGACCCTGCGCTGTTCTTTCGTCTGCTCGGCCCTCCCCGGGTTTGCTGCTGGTTCTTCCCGGGTTGGCTACTATCCCTTCCACCTCCGTGGAAGGGCAGTTCCCCCTGGCCACATTCCCCACTTCCGCAGGGGAGCGGCACACCGCCGGCCGGCTCTCTCGGGGGCTGCACAGGTGTTCCCCTTAGATGTTCCTGGTGCATGCCGTCTCTCTCCTCCTTTATAGTCCTCCTCCGCCAATCCCAACTCGGCTGCCCACACGCCGAGTACGCTGCTCTCCTCCAATCAGGAGCAAGTCCTACAGTTTATTAGCTGAACTGGAGGCAGCTGTGCGGAAGCTGTTTACTTCTCTCCCAGCGCCATATTGTGGGAGAGCAGATGCATAGAATAAGTCTTAATTCCAGTAACTCAGTCTAGTCCGGTTGCTCCCCACAACGCACCACATGCGAGGTGGGGTGACCCCTGGCAAAATGCTGTATCTCTGGAGACCATGCCTGTTCTTTTACCACTTTCTACCTCTTCTGATTATGTGTCCTGGTAGTGTCTGATTGCTGTAGTCATTTTTGATAAGAAATGAGAGATAAGCACATGCGCTTTCTTGATTTTCTGGGGACAGACCCACATCCTGGTCCTGTCCAAGCCCCTCACGTCACAGCACACACCCTGGTGGGCAGGTCAGACGAGACACTGACCATTAATCTCTCCGTTACCAGCGGGAGCACCCGTGCACCGGGCTCTCCCACACCTGACCATGCCGGCTGCTGGCATCGGTGGGGTCACGACCCAGGGCTCAGCCCCACAGCGCAGCATCCTTCCTATGGCTAGACGGTGCCTGAGCAGAGCCGAGAGCTTCAGACGGCCCTGGAAAAGGCGCCGAGATGCACCTTCTGCCAGCACTGCAGTGGTCAGCTTGCCCGGGGTCCAGGGAGTCAGGGGCCACAGGCACACCCCCTCTGAAGTGACACAGCTCGGGCTGTGGCCACAGTTGGTGCAGCACGCAGCAGGCACACGCTGTGGCCTCCAGCGCCAGCGGCTGGGAGCAGGACCCAAGCTGTTTACCAGCTCACTCCCAAAAGTGAGCTCACACTCAAGGCAAGTGCTCCATGGGGGCCGAACGCCTGGCAGAGGGCCAGCAGCGAGCCACTACAGGCAAAGCAGGAAGCTGGGCACTGAAGCCAGCAGACAGACCCCCGAGCAGGTGCCGGCCAGGGGACACATAAGGGAGGTGACCCGCAGGGGGGATGCATGTGCCTGGGATGAGGTCATTCCAGGACATCAGAACCCCCCCCACCCCAGATGCCCAATGGTCACGGCCCACCGCAGCTGTGCTGCTCCTCCCACACCACTGGGGGCCCCAGGAGCCAGATGTGACAGGAGGAGACCTCAGTGCGGCGTTCCACCCACTGAGGCAGCGTGGGCTGACAGGCAGGAGGTCCCCGCCACGTCCCGGCCCTGGGACGGTGCCTGCACTCGCAGCACGCGTGGTCACTTTCACGTACACTCCAGCATGAAGGTAGAATTCTCACACCCTCTCTGAGTGAGCCGTGTTCACTGCTTCTACTTTACTGAGTGTATAAGAAAGTCTGCTGGCTCATGTCCACTCTTTCCAATTAGTAAATCCTGTCGCCTGGGGGACCTCAGGAGCCTGCCCCTGTGGCGACCCTGTCGGACGTGCTGTCATGACCAAGACCGCACGGCCGAGCTGGCCAGCCCCTGGGAGAGCCATACCGACAGGCTGCCTGCTCTCGGCGTGTCTGACGCTCCTCAGCTCGTCCACAGTCCACGTGGCTCACAGCCTCGGGGCTGAGCCCCACATGGCCGGTTCTTCTCCATCCTCTCCCGCAGGGAGCTGGCCCACAATGTGTCCACTGCTACCCAGGGCTGAGAGCGGCGCTGTGCGGGCACAGGGCCCACAGGGCGAGGGGTCTGGCTCTGTTCTGTACCCGGGGATGGCACTGGCCCTAGCATGGGCAGACACCTACATAGGCACGGAAGCAAACCAGCCAGGGCAGAGGCAAAGGACAGCCCTGGCAAGGAGAGGAAGCACTCCCTGACCAGAGCCCAGTGCTGCTGCACCAGGTGCTGCTTACCTCAGGGGCGCCTGCTGTTTACCTCTGTGGACCACCTGCTGCAGGGAGAGAGCTCATCCCGTACAGGGAGCAGCCTGGGGAGGCACTGGGCGGAGCATCCCCAGCAAGGCCCCAGTGTGGTGGGCGCCTCTGCCCGGGAGCATGAAGGAGGCAGGGTCCCTGGTCCACCACCCCACCTGCGGCAGGCGATGCTGGCCACACGCCTGGGCGTGCCAGGGCCCGCTCCCCTTCCTGCTCTCCAGCGTCAGTGTTTCAGACCGGAAGCCCCGCGGCCGGTGACCCCAGAGCCCCGCGGTACCTGCGCGTGCTTGGAGACCCAGTGCCGGAGGACGTTCAGGACCCGGTTGGTGGCTGTTCTCCGAATGATGAACTCTTTGTCGCAGGTTCTCTCAGTGTTGTTAAAGCCTGAGGGAGAAGAAACGCACCTGGTGTGTGTTGTAGCAAACGGCCTCCCCCAGGGACCTAGCGGAGGTCGGCAGGTCCAGGACGTTGCCGAACGAAACCCACAGATGACCTCCTGGCAGGAGAGCGTGAAGCTTTGTGTGCCATCCGCTTCCCCCGGACACCATCAGCAGAGAGCTGACCCCGCCCATGGCAGGTGCAGCCGTGTGGGGTCCCACACGTACTAACGGCCACCGCTCAGAGAGAGCACTGCCCCAGTGACACGGCCCACTCTGCCTCCTTCTTCTGTACTGTAAGGCTAGGGAGGAATTTTAACAGGAGCGATTATACCCCCAGTCATGTTTTCAGCATTTGCACATGGATGAGCCCAGGTTTTGGCTCCAGATGACATAAATAATTTATTGTGCATCCACAGATCAAAGAGCAGGATCATACAGAAGTTCAGAGTGTGTTTCACAATTACTCAAAGAAGAGATCGTAAATGTTTTCACCACAAAAAAGCATGTTAGACGATAAATTTGTTAGTTTGATTCAATCATGCAAAATGTAAACACAAAGTATTTCATTGTACTCCACCGATATATAACATATTCAATTACTTGTTAATTAAAAGTAAATTTTTTAAATATGTGAATTCCATGGCCAGCACTGTGGGGCAGCAGGCTAAGCCTCCACCTGCAGCACCGGCATCCGATATGGGCACTGGTTCAAGTCCCAGCTGCTCCTCTTCTGATCCAACTCTCTGCTATGGCCTGGGAAAGCAGCAGAAGACGGCCCAAGTGCTTGGGCCCCTGTGCTCACAGAGGCAACTTGGAAAAAACCCCTGGCTCTTGGCTTCAGATCGGCTCAGCTCTGGCTGTTGCAGCCACCTGGGGAGTGAACCAGTAGATGGAAGACCTTTCTCTCTGTTTCTCCCTCTCCAAGTTGAACCTTGCCTTTCAACTAAATAAATAAATCTGTGAAACAATACAAGTAAGGAAGGAAATCCAGGCTGTCTGGTTCACGTTCTCACCGGGGCTACGACACCTGCGCAGACTGCTCCGTTCATCAGCCAACCTTGGCATTTCTGAGTCAGCATCTTCCTGAGCTCCTGCTGTGTTACTCGCCATGCTGCTCCTCCCAGCCCACCCTCCCCAGGGTTTGGACCCACAGACGGAGGTACTGCAGATCCTTTCAACGTAGCCACGGAGGGCTCAGACAGGGGCAGGGGCAAGGCTGGGGAACTTCAGCCCTCCGTGCACGGATGCCTGCCACCCTGCCTTACTGCACTGCTCCTCAGGCCAGAGAAAGTCCTTTCATAAAATCACAAACTCTTTCGGGATTTCCTGTTTAGCTTCCCCCAAAATCACTCAACAGTTTACTGTACTGCTGCACAAAATATTTACTCCCAAACCAAGTCAAAGTGCTTGGCTAACTTAAATATGGAGCAACGAGTAATACTGATTGCTAAATGTCATGAGGATGGACTTGGCTTTTCTTTATTCTTTTTTTTTTAATCAAACCTAGTAAAATTTACAGGACAGAGACCTTAACACCATAGTTAACAGGAGTCATTTTGACCAGTAAAATAACTTTGCAAGAGTGAACTTGCAGGGCCGGTGCTGTGACACAGCGGGTAAAGTCACCACCCGTGATGCCGGCATCCCACATGGGCGCCGGTTCAAGTTCGGCAGCCCCACCTCCCATGCAGCTCTCTGCTGTGGCCTGGGAGAGCAGTAGGAGATGGCACAAGTGCTTGGGTCCCCGCAACCTGTGCGGGAGACAGGAAAGAAGCTCCTGGCTCCTGGCTTCAGCCTGGTTTGGCCCTAGCTGTTCTGGCTACTTGGGGAGTGAAACAGAGATGGAAGATCTCTCTCTCTCTCTCTGTTTCTGCAACTCTTTCAAATAAATAAATCTATAAAAAATAAAAGTAGACTGGCGTCTTGGCCTTGAGGCCCTGGGGGAGACTGTGAAGGGCTCCAGCTTTGCTAACCTGAGGAGGGGACACGCAGGTGGCAGACAGCACGAACAGCCCTGGGGAATGAAAATGGCCTCTGTGCTCCCCTCTCAAAGCCAAGTCAGCAGCCCTGGCTCCCTCCTCAGAGGTGGGAGCCCCCTGGCTAGGGAATATCCTACAAGGAAAGCACCCCTTTTGTGGGAGTTGAAAGCTAGGGTTGTTAACAGTTGACAGCTTCCATCACTCACTGCTTAGCTACGTGAGGGGCTCAGCTCATTTCAGTTCTACAAGGACCCTGTAAGTCAGAGTTACCGTTGCTTTATAGAAGACAATAATACGATTTACTCAGAGTTATTACACACCTGGCACTGGGAACTTGCAACCTGCGACTGTTGTCATCCTGTCCACAGTTAATGTGTGTGGCACCTGCTGGCATTGTGGGTGCAAAGCCCATGCAACCCCATGAGGCTGTTGTGGGGGGTAAAGGAGTGAATGTGGGTGAAGTGCCCTGGCTCCAAAGCCAACACTCGCATTTCCCAGACTGTGCAAAGTGGGGTAGAGCAGGGGGATGGAGGCGGCTGCAGGTAGGGTCGTGGAGACCTGGGCGCCTGCTGTGGCCACAGCACCCGGCGTGGCATCCAGAGGCAGCAGTTTCCTGGTCTCTGAGGTCTCCTGGAGGCCCGGACACTTGAAGCAGGGCTGTCCTATGTCGCCTGTGCCCACAGCAGAGACAGGAGCCCCCTGGGTGGCCAATGTGTGACACTCTAGAAGTGATTCCTGGAAGCCAGCCTGAATGTGCTCCTTCCGATGGCCCTAATTCCCTGTCATAAATCTCTTTCCAAGGACACAGCCAACGTGTTCCCTGAAACCAAACTGTACCGGAACAGCCAGCAACTGCCGATGCCAAGTGCCCAGGCCCCAGCCCGCTCTGAGATGCAGCTGTGGATGAGAGCCGGTGGTGAGGCAGCACGTCCTGCGTGCACACGTCCGAGCCTGGACAGTCCTCCCATTCTCTGTCGCAGCCTGCCTCAGGAGAGCTCCCTCACCTCCACTCATCCTTCTCACCCTCAGCTTCCCGCCACCGACCCTCAAGAGAAGAGAAAGGAAACGAGATCCCAGCAGAGACTCCGAACCGTGAGCACGGGTCTTTGACAGCTGGGTGGTCTGAAGCCATCCTTAGGAGACGGCGAGGGGGTGAGAGGCCACCCAGGCCTGGCGGAACTGAGCTGATCCACAGCCGAGGAGCACTCCTCTGACGGAGAAAAGGATGGACAGACCAAAGGGAGGAATCGGAGTAGCCGCCGCCGATGCACGCGGGTTAAGACATCGGCCAACGGTGCTTACTGTGATATCTGCACTATGAGGGTGTCAACCAGGCAGCCAGCCGTCTGCACGCGGGGACCTCGGTGTGGCAGGGGGAGGGAGGCCACAGGAGGCACAGACAACGTTCACGTGCTCTCTGAAGGGTCCTCTGTCCAGCGCCCTTGGCAAACAACAGACCAGTAACCAGCACATCTACTAGAGGAGGCGTCCACGCACGGGCTCTGGCTCTCAGGGCCGAGGGCAAGGGTTCGACAGCCTCCCAGGCCCCCGGGGGGATCAGCTGTCAGATTCCCCATCGTCAGCCATGGCTCTCTGACGAGGACACTGCCACCAGACCAGCCACGACAAGGCCACCTCCCAGTCAGCCCGACCCAGGCCGTCAGCAGCGGGGCAATGCCTGGCTCCAGAGCACACGTGTTTCCAGGAACGCCCATGGCTCCGCGCTCTACTGGCTCAGGGATCCCGAGACGGAACGCGAGCTGAACTTGAACTGGGGCTCAGACCACATGGAAAGAATGCTGTGATGAGGGCAGACCCCAGGCACCCACACACGCCCTTCTTAGCACAAAGTGAGCCGCACAGGGCACAGACAACCCCCTAAGCATCAGATCACCCAACCACTCTGCTCTGGGCTGGCTGTTAGTGAACTCCTCACAGCAGGAAAAGGACGTCCAGGTGGGAATCTCCCTTCGTATCCACCCCAAACCCCAGTCCCTGCCACTTGGATGCAGGCTTTGTGCAGTGAGGGCACTGCTCAGCTTCCTTCCGAGTTCCACGACGCTGATAAAACTCGCTCGGCCCTGCTCTTAGCCCAGACGCTCGGGTCACTAATAAAGTAGGCTTCTCCCTCAAGGTGACAGGGATGAGGAGAATGAAGTGAGCATACAACTGTGCAGCCAGTGACACAGCAGGCACCAGAGCAAGTCCACGCGGGTGTTACTTGTAGCAGATGACCGAGGTACCATGGACACGCCGGGAAATTCACCCACAGTAAGCGCATGGTTCACTGATGCCCAGAAAACGTGCAGGGTTGTGCAGCCACCGCTGCATTGCAACGATAGGGCATTCCCACCTCCCAGACAGGCCCCAGACAGGACAGTCCCACCTCCCAGACGGGCCCCAGACAGGACAGTCCCACCTCCCAGACGGGCCCCAGACAGGACAGTCCCACCTCCCAGACGGGCCCCAGACAGGACAGTCCCACCTCCCAGACAGGCTCCAGACAGGAGAGTCTCACCTCCCACACGGGCCCCAGACAGGACAGTCCCACCTCCCAGACAGGCCCCAGACAGGACAGTCCCACCTCCCAGACGGGCCCCAGACAGGACAGTCCCACCTCCCAGACAGGCTCCAGACAGGACAGTCCCACCTCCCAGACAGGCTCCAGACAGGACAGTCCCACCTCCCAGACGGGCCCCAGACAGGCAGGACAGTCCCACCTCCCAGACGGGCCCCAGACAGGCAGGACATTCCCACCTCCCAGACAGGCTCCAGACAGGGCAGTCCCACCTCCCAGACAGGCTCCAGACAGGACAGTCCCACCTCCCAGACAGGCTCCAGACAGGACAGTCCCACCTCCCAGACGGGCCCCAGACAGGACAGTCCCACCTCCCAGACAGGCTCCAGACAGGACAGTCCCACCTCCCAGACGGGCCCCAGACAGGCAGGTCATTCCCACCTCCCAGACGGGCCCCAGACAGGCAGGACGTCCCACCTCCCAGACGGGCCCCAGACAGGACAGTCCCACCTCCCAGACAGGCTCCAGACAGGACAGTCCCACCTCCCAGACAGGCTCCAGACAGGACAGTCCCACCTCCCAGACGGGCCCCAGACAGGCAGGACAGTCCCACCTCCCAGACGGGCCCCAGACAGGACAGTCCCACCTCCCAGACAGGCTCCAGACAGGACAGTCCCACCTCCCAGACAGGCTCCAGACAGGACAGTCCCACCTCCCAGACGGGCCCCAGACAGGCAGGACAGTCCCACCTCCCAGACGGGCCCCAGACAGGCAGGACATTCCCACCTCCCAGACAGGCCCCAGACAGGCAGGACAGTCCCACCTCCCAGATGGGCCCCCAGCGCCAGCGTGCTGCGTGCCCGCGTCCCCCCCGGCACCAGGCACTGCCCTGCGTCTGTAACGCTCACCTTCTGTGCGTCTCATACAAAGGAATCCCACCCACGTGGTCTTCTGACCTGCTTTCCTTCTCCCGGAAGTGAGCTAACTACTCGCTGCCCGTTCTTGCAGGTAAAGTTATGCTGGACCAGTCACACCGATTCGCTCACACAGGGACCCTCTCTCATAGCTTCAGCACCACCGGGCAGAGAGCGGGAGAGGTGGCGGAACCGGAAACTGGTTTCCAGGTGGTGCTGTCATTCACATCCCCATCGGCCAGACACGAGGATCCACGTTCTCACTGCCTCTCACTTTTGGGATTTTCTGGTTTTTGTTTTTTTTTTCCTGTTGAATTCTAAGATTCTATTTGCAATTTCAATCTTTTAAAACCCATCAAGACAGCCAGCGCCACAGCTCACTAGGCTAATCCTCCGCCTGCCGCACCGGCACCCCGGGTTCTAGTCCCAGTTGGGGTGCCGGATTCTGTCCCGGTTGTTCCTCTTCCAGGCCAGCTCTCTGCTGTGGCCCGGGAGTGCAGTGGAGGATGGCCCAGGTGCTTGGGCCCTGCGCCCCATGGGAGACCAGGAGGAAGCACCCGGCTCCTGGCTTCGGATCGGCGCAGCGTGCCAGCTGTAGCCACCATTTGGGGGGTGAACCAACGGAAGGAAGACCTTTCTCTCTGTCTCTCTCTCACTGTCTAACTCTGCCTGTCAAAAATAAATAAATAAATAAAATGTATTCCTGAAGACTATGTTTTCACTACAGAACACCCCTCTCTGCACACACACACACACACACACATTTTTGGGGTCTGATACTCTATTCTGCCTGATGTTGACGGAGCTACCCCGGTCAGCTCGGGTTACTCTGTGCATGGAATATCTTCTCCTGCCCTTTTACTGTAAGTGAAACTGTGCTGCCTATTCAGCACATGTGAGGTTTCATTGCTTGATATGGCTCGACGATATCTATTTTCTGATTTGCATGTTCTGTCAACTCGTATTTAATGGAATTTGATTTGGTTGGACTTACACCTGCCATTTTGCCATTTGCTTTCTATTTGTTCTTTGTTGGTTTTCTGTTGCTGTTGTGACCTACTGCCACAAACTTGGTAACCTCATACTCCTGGAGGCCAAAGGTGGAGGCGGCTCTCGCTGGGCTGACAGCTACGCGCTGGGAAGACCGCACCTCTCCGGAGACGTGAAGGGAGAGTCTGCCTTCTGCCTCCCCTTGCTTCTGGAGGCTGCTCAGGGCTCCCTGCAAAGCCAGCCCCGGGCAAGCACATCGGTCCCAGGCTGCTCGCATGGACGCCGACTCTCCACCTCCCGTCCACTCTCACAGACCCCGTGAGCAGACTGGCCCCTGGATGATTCAGGTTCATCTGCCCCCCAAAAGGTCTGCTCACAGCAACTTAGTTCCTAGTGCAGCCTCTGCTCCCTGTGCCGCGTGAGGGAACTCACAGATGCCCCCAGGCAGGACGCCGGGCTCTCAGGGAGCCGCCACGGGGTCTAAGGTCACTTCTTCTCCCTGGCTCATTCTTTTCTGGCTTTCTTGGTCCCAGTTTTTGAAAAGTATTTGTTTATTTTATCTAGTTGGAAGAGAGAGGGGGGGAAGGGAAGGAGAGGGAGAGAGGGAGAGAAGAAGAGAGGGAGGGAGGGAGGGAGAGAGAGAATGAATCTGCCCATCAACCAATTCATTCCCCAAATGTCCACAACAGCCAGAGTTGGACCAGGCTCAATTCAGGAGCCCAGAATCCCCTCTGGGTCTCCCATGTGGATAGCAGGGACCCAGGGCCTTCAGCCATTGCCGTGGCCCCCTAGGGTGCACATTAGCCGGAAGCTGGAGTGGAGAACAGACCTGGGACTCAACCCAGGCCCCCGATACACAAACCCAGGCCCCCCAATATTCAAACCCCGGCCCCCCGATACTCAAACCCAGGCCCCCCAATACTCAAACCCAGGCCCCCTGATACTCAAACCTAGGCCCTCCGATACTCAAACCCAGGCCCCCTGACACTCAGACCTAAGCGCTCAGGTGTCAGATGCCAGTGTCTCAAGCCGGGTCTACACTAAACACACTCCCCTTCTGGGTTAAATCTTTTCTGGTGCGCCATTTTAGTCCTTTAATCTCTGTTGTTTCTGGGACGACAACATCAGTGCTGCTGGCCTCTGATACTGCTGACGCTTCTGACCTCACCCAGCACCCTGGGGCCACCCACATGCGCCCTGCTGCAGTCCAGGACGGATTCCTGGGACCAGGAGCTGGGGTTGCCACGCCCACACGAGCTCTGCTGTGGTCCAGGACAACACCCTGGGACCAGGAGCTGGGGTTGCCACGCCCACACCCACATGTGCCCTGTTGCGGTCCAGGATGGCGCCCTGGGACCAGGAGCTGGGATTGCTACAACCACACATTCTTGCGGTCCAGGATGGCGCCCTGGGACCAGGAGCTGGGGTTGCCACGCCCACACGGCCCTGCTGCGGCTCACAGCCTACTGCACACTGAAGGAGCTGGGGCCGGAGGGAGGGCGGCCTCCCACTCAAATGCCTTTGGTACTCGGCCTTGAACAGAGGCTTCTGTTCTGTGCGTGCCTGTGGCTGATTTCAGGAGTCCACAAATGGGTGATTTTCATAATGTTCTTCAATTTTATCATTGTGCTCGTGAAGAACGGGCCAATTCCTTACTCTATCGTTCTGTATTATTTTTCACCATTTAAAAATATCAGCAAATACTGCATCAGAGAACCTTCACCTGGAGTAGATGAAGTTCTCAGAACCCACGAGCTTTGTAGAGAGAAGGGGGTAGAACCCCACCCACAACGCCTAACAACCCACCTACATTAAAGGAAAAACAAACTTGTAAACTCGGACAGCCTTTTCTTTCTTCAGATACGGAAAGCCATACTTCTATCTATACTGATCTATACTGATACTACTGTACTATCTATACTGATCTACACTGAAGTCATTGGTGAGAACTTAGTCTAGAACGTGGGGCTCCGAGCAGGGCCCCGTCTGCTGAAGTTACAGCCAGTGCTTGAACGCCAGCCCCGTGCCAGGGCCCCCCCTGGCTCCCTAGGTGTGCAGCACTCTCAGGATGGGAGGTGTGAGCACTCTTCTCACTAATACACCAATTTCCCCGAGAAGCACAAACCTGGTCCCCTTGGGGGCCAGACAGTGCCTGCTGATGTGTGGCCGAGCCGGGGGGAGGGGGGTGGGGGGCCCTCAAGCCCTCCGCAGGGCAATGTGAGGCATACATCAGCAGGTGCAGGTGGCCCACAGGGGGAGCTAGGGAACACCAGCAGCATCGTGGGCCCGAGGCTGCGCTCCCGGGAGGGGCTGCCGTACCCTGGTGCCTGCTCCTGGATGGCACACGACACTTAGCTAATTGTGAGCTGAGGTCATTCTTGTATTATTAGCTTAGGATTTCAAGGCCTCAGGACAATTTAATCGTCCTTATTGCTTTTTTCACCATGTCCTAAATATAGCCCATAAAAAGGCGCACACCACACACCTGGGACTCTTCCCTCCCTAAGCAGGCCCGCAGGGGTGCGTCTCCTACCCTAATGCTGCAGGAAGCTACAGCCTCCATCTCCTCCCTCCTCAGTCACCTGTCTTCCCAGAGTCCACTGTGGGGAAATCACCATGGACCACTGCCTCATTTAACAAAGGGATCCTGAGGTCTCTCGACTGTGCCTAGAAATTACCGACCACAGGGTAACGATGCACAATCACACTCTTTCTTTGCAGTTATTCTGCAAATTCTTGCCCAAGTACCAGTCAGTGGGGGATGGAGTATGAATGTATGTGTGTGTACTTGTGCATACACACACCCGTGTGCACACACGTGCACACCCACATGCCTGCACACTCACACATGCACAAGCACACACACATTCCACATGCACACTCACACGTGCACACCCACATGCGTGCACACTCACACATGCACAAGCACACACACACACGTACTCCACATGCACACCTACACGTGCACAAGCACACACACGCACGCACTCCACATGCACATTCACACGTGCACACCCACATGCATGCACACTCACATGTATGCACTCACACGTGCACAAGCACACACACATGCACTCCCATGCCTGCACACTCACACTGCACAAGCACACATACACGTGCACTCCCATGCTTGCACACTCACACGTGCACACCCACATGCACGCACACTCACATGTATGCACTCACACATGCACAAGCACACATACACGTGTACTCCACATGCACACTCACACGTGCACACCCACATGCACGCACACTCACATGTATGCACTCACACATGCACAAGCACACATACACGTGCACTCCACATGCATGCACACCCACAAGTGCACACCCACATGCGTGCACACTCACATGTATGCACTCATATATGCACAAGCACACACACATGCACTCCCATGCCTGCACACTCACACATGCACAAGCACACATACACGTGCACTCCCATGCTTGCACACTCACACGTGCACACCCACATGCACGCACACTCACATGTATGCACTCACACATGCACAAGCACACATACACGTGTACTCCACATGCACACTCACACGTGCACACCCACATGCACGCACACTCACGTGTATGCACTTACACATGCACAAGCACACACACATGCACCCCCATGCATGCACACCCACACGTGCACAAGCACACACACATGCACTCCCATGCCTGCACACTCACACGTGCACAAGCACACATACATGCACACCCACATGCACACTCACATGTATGCACTCACACATGCACAAGCACACACACATGCACTCCCATGCCTGCACACTCACACATGCACAAGCACACATACACGTGCACTCCACATGCACACTCATACGTGCACACCAACACGCATGCACACTCACATGTATGCACTCACACGTGCACAAGCACACATGCACTCCCATGCCTGCACACTCCCAGAGGCACACAGTGAGTCAGGAGGAGAGGGTGGGAATTCACGGGAGGTGGGACACGCATTTGTGTCCATTCAGCACTCTGGTCTGTGGGGATGACAGGGGCGGGAGAGGCAGCGACGAGCACGCCCCGGTCTGTCCTGAAACAGGAGGAGGCAGCCAACAGGAGTGCAGGGCACAGTGCGCTGCGGAGACGGCTCCCTGCTCAGGCCTCGCGAGGATGCAGGCAGAGTCTGCCGCAGTCATTAACCTCGCTTGAGCGACAGGAGAGAGACTGGGAGAGGCTGCCCGGGGTCACCGAGCTCTGTGAGCTGCGGAGCGCACACCTGGGCTTCCCTGACCCCTCAACACGCTCTGGTGGCCACCTCCACCCTGATGCCCCCATTGGCTGTCACTTCCCTCCCTTGGCCAGATGCCTGGCCTGGGGAAGAAGCACAGCCTCTCGCCCACCCTCGATCAAAAGGAACGCAGGTGGAAACTCTCAGGACTGGACCACAGGCCCCGAGCCCAGGGGCTTCCTAACCCTGTCCTCCACGTGAGTCACTTCCCACAGAGATTTTCAAACCTCACATGGGCAGCCTGTGGGCGCCAGAGCGCAGCACCAGAAACCAGCAACTGTTCTCAAGGGGCTGTCTATGCTGAGTGGAATTGCAACGGGCAGAGTCGATGGCCTTGGAGAACGAGGGGCTGTATCTCCGGGTCACAGAGAGAAGATGCTGGGCGTGCAGCACGCGGTCCAGAGCCAGGCAGGGCAGGTGGATTTTAAAAGGATGAAGCAAAGAAGTCTCACCTGGCCGGCAGGTGGGAGGATCCTCCTGCTAGCCACGCAACTTCTGTTTTAGGCTTACCTGAAGGACATTTATGAAATAAAGAAACAGGTGCGAATCCCTATGACGGCTTTCGTGTGTGTCCATCTGCAGAAAGCCCTAAGCCCTGCTGGGACACGGGACCCGAATGGTGAGACCCACAAAGGGTCCAGCCCTGCGCCTTCCTCCATGCGGGCAGGGGCTGAATCTGGCCAGGGAGGCTGCGACTCACGCTGAAGCCAGTCAGCCAGAGGGATCCCTGGATAGGAGGTGTGCACCGCTCAGTGTCTCCACCGACCCTGCCAGTATCCAGGCACTTGGCTCTGGAGCAAATCACAGCACTGGCCTTGGAGTGCAGCGTGCCCTTGACAACACCACCTCCTGCTGGGCCTGGCGCTTTGCCTACCAGGGGACACGCAGGTTCTCTCCATGGCTCATGTGTCAGTCTTCCCAGGCTGGCTGTGACAGACACATACTACTGCCTAGGAACAGGCTTTGCGACTGCAAGGGTCAGGCCGTGTACAAGGGAAAGGCACGGCATCGGGTCTGCCTAAGCCGGACACAGGGAAGGCCAGCATCACCTGCTGACGTTTGCCACTGTGGCAGCGATGGGAGGGTGGGAGCAGAGAGGCCAGGCTTTGCAGGGATCGCCTGCATTCAGCCTGCTCCTCGCGGCCTGTTCTACACCCAACCCACTGGAAGGGAGACAACAGCTCTCGCAGGGAATCGCTGCCATGATCTGCCAGATGAAGATTTATCCAAACTAAGACGCTCGACTTAAGTAAGTTCTTAAGTAAGTGTGAATTGTGGCAGGAGCTTGGAGATGAGAAGGAAACACAAAGAGAAGCCTCGCAAGTGTGGGCAGGTTGCAGGCAAGGGGCAGACGCACGGATGCCACTCAGGGGGATGCATCATAGGCCGCCCGGCCTCGGACTGCACAGCTGATGCCTGACCGCGAAGGAGGAGGGCTTTGTCCCTCGTGGCCCTCTGTGACACTGATCTCATGCATGCACACGCATGGACACGCACACACCACACATGCACACACATGCACACACATCCCAGGACTGCTGACTCTGCCTCACTTAGCCTGTTTTTCACCTAGTCTGTCTGTGGGTTTTC